GCCCTGTCCTCATCAACACCCACACCTGTGTTAATGGAGCAATCACTGAAACGATGTTAGCTGGTCCTTTTAAGGCAGGGCTGCAATGAAGTTTAAATGTGTTTTGTTCATTTTCTAGGCAAATATTGACTTTGCAATTAATTGCTGTTAAGCTGATCACTCTTTATAACATTCTGGAGTATATGCAGATTGGCATTATAAAAACTGAAGCAGTAGACTTTGAATCATTTGAATCATTCTCAAAACTTTTGGCCATGACTGTACTTTCAGTTTCAGCAGAAAGAATAGGACTTTCACTACATAAATATGACATCATTTTAATAAAGCAAAGGTCCTAAAAGGAACTTGCCCTCCTTTTCCATCCGGCACTTGCACTTGCTGAAATAATTGCAAAGCCCCACCCACTTCTCCACTGTTGTCCAGGAGCTTTGGATCCAAAAATATGTACAGGAGACTGTGTCTGGCCAGAGGAATAAACCCTGATCTTGGTTTTATTCCGAATTCTGCAGAAGGAATCTCTGAATCATCGGTTCCTAAAGGCCGCTACTGACAGCTTCTGTGTCCCAAAGGGAGAAAATAAATCAGCCTATTCAGCTCTGCTGAGAAGCAGAGCATCGCTGGCCACCACCAGCCAAATGTCACTGATATGCATCCAGAGCTAAGAGGACACTCTACATACCAAACTAACCTCTGCTAGCTGTGCATAGCTTTTGCAACCCAGTCCAGTGTTCATAGAACCAGAGACGCCCATATTCCGATTCTGATTGGCACACAGAGATTGCAAGCTGTTGGCTGAGTAACTAACTGTCTCCTGGTTCTCTACACAAATGTAGCCAGGCAAGTGTTACTCAAAGTAAGAGGCTGTGTTCTGGGCAGAGATAAAATAGCTTAGTATAGGCAATTTAATCTTATTGTGTATTTTTATGTTGTTTCTGTGTTATTTGATACTTAGCAATGTTCCAAATTGAGCAGGCTGAATTTGGCATGCTGCTACTAAAGCTTCCTATATTTTGGACTGTTCAAACCTCATCCAAATGAGTGTTTTAGTCACCGATAGCCACGATAGCAAGCTTCTAGTTACCTGTAGAAGCTTGTCTCTTCTACGGGTAAGTTTCCTTCCCTTTCTTGGCACTAAGCTGCAAGAAATAGCCCTAAAAACATTCTAAAATGTCCAGTTTTATGAAAGCTAATGGTAGCAAAGCTTAAGGTGGTTCAGAGCCATAGCATTCCAAAAATAGCTTGTTTCTGCTCTTGCAGTCAGTCCAAGTGAATTACATATATACTCAAAAACAATATTGCTATTTGGACTTAAAATATTGTTTGAAACAGCAAAATATTAGATACTTTGTGTTCATTTAAACTGCTTCCCGGTATTCCAAATGACTAAATTACCTATTACTACAGTAACTTGAGAATAGATTAAGAATAAATTATCTAAAAATATAGATTTTTAACTGTCAAAACAAATAAAACATTACTTTATTGAAATATCTTAATTTTAGGCAAGTTGACCTCAAACAAACTTCAATACAACCCTTGGTCTTTAAACATACACTATATTGCCATAAGTATTTGCTCACCTGCGACAGACTGGCGACCTGTCCAAGGTGACCCCACCTCTCGCCCGGAACGTTAGCTGGAGAGGCAGTGTCACCTCCTGACCCCAGTAGGGACAAGGGAGTTAGAGAGGACGGACGGACTGGACTGGACTGGACTGAGTCCTGATCTCAACCTTTGGGATGAATTAGAGCGGAGACTGAGAGCCAGGCCTTCTCGTCCAACATCAGTGTGTGACCTCACTAATGTGATTCTGGAAGAATGGTGAAAAATCCCCATAAACACTCTTAAACCTTGTGGTCCACCTTCCAGGAGAGTTGAAGCTGTTCTAGCTGCAAATGGTGGACCAACGTCATGTTGAACCCGATGGTTTAGGATTTTAGGGATGCCACTTAAGATCATATGTGAGTCAAGACAGGTGAGTGAATCATTTTTGCAATATAGTTGACATATTCATACTGGACTGTGATATTACTATATCATTCCATGGGTTATTTCATGTTTTATTCCTTGCATATCTCTGATGTTGCTGTACCAGGAACAGGCAGCATATTTGGTTCAGACTAATAATATTTAGTACAGGCCGTCTCATGCTGTCATGTCTCATACTCATATCGCCCATGTCAGAAACCACTGATGTCTGTACTGGTACTTGTGTTATGTCTGACTGTCTTTTTCTCAGATTGGTAGAGTATTGATTTAAAGTTTTAACTGAAAGTTTGAATTTTTTTGGTGATTAAATTTTGTCTGTGATAACATAGTGTCTGTGTTTATTCTTTACATGTGTGGTATCTTACTGCTGAACTTATGCCTTCATCTACTGTTATTTTAAAACAGAAATTTTATCTGGCAGGTATTTATAGACAATTACTGAGACTGACTGGCTATTATTTTCTTGATAATGAAGTAGTGTGTTGGCTTGTTAATTTTGATCTAAATTAATAGTTTTATTAAGAATTGCCCTAAGCAATCATGTATAGTTATTAATCGCCAAAATAGACCCTACTATAGCACAACATCAGTTCTTGTTCTCAGGCTGTGAGAAGTGCTGCCTCACAGGGCAACACTACTGGCTGGTTCCAACACCTGCAACCAAATCAGACAAAGACATCAATGATCCGAGCCTCTCTGAAACACCACAAACCACCAGAGGTCCAGCTGAAACCTCTGCTCTCTCGCTGTAGCCAGACTGTTACAACAGAGGAACCAAATGGACCAAACAGGGACAACAGAGCCTAAGTAGGTCTCTACAGAGACTCTGCTGAGATCTGGCAGAGTCTCGCTGTGGACTTCGCTCTGATACATTTAATCTCCTCAGAGGCACTTACTGGGATTATTCAGTCTGTCTGTGAACTTTGAACTGGGAGGGGTCTTCCTGTTATTGATTTAAGTTCATTAAAACAGACTCTTAAACTTCTAATGGTAGTATTTTTTTATTTCTATATTGAATTTAATTGTAAAATCAACTTTTATGACATTTTCATTTCATTTTCCATCCATCCATCCATCATCATACTTGCTTATCCCATTGGGGTCCTCAGAGTGCTGGTGTTATCTCCAGCGGTCAATGAGAGTTGAGGTACACCTTGACAGTCCATCGCAGTCATTTCATTTAATTTTTGTTAAAAACAACACATGGAATACAGATGATTAACTTGAATTTGGTGATTCTGAAAGAAATTGTTTTTTTTCCCCAGTTTGCTGCTTATATTGAGATCTTTCAGTTTGCTGTTGATGCTCCTGGTAGAAACACTGATTATTGTCCACTGTACTCACCGCTGTTGGCCCTGGTTGTTGAGGAAGAAAACAATAAACTCAGAAATATAGAGGTTGTTCTGCTGTTCATTAACTTTCACTCTCATCAGGAAAATAACACTACAACTTGTCTTTGAGGTGAAGGAGGAAGAAATTATGTCATTGGATGAGCTGAAGGTCAGTGGGCGGGGCCACTTCAACTCGACCAATCAGAGAGTTTTCTGCTTCCTCAGCAGCTCTGTCTCTGATCTTTACTGCTTCATGTCTCTGTTGTCTTCAGTCCAAAGACTCAACAACCAGAGGATTAACAGGGAGTGAGGCCCTCTAGTGGCTGCTGTGGAGTACTGCAGGTTTTAGTGGTTTAACAGGGAGTGAGGCCCTCTAGTGGCTGCTGTGGAGTACTGCAGGTTTTAGTGGTTTAACAGGGAGTGATGCCCTCTAGAGGAAGTTAAAAGCTAAGACATGAGCCATCTGAGATCACTGAGGATCTTGGAGATCATCAGGTCTACTTGGTTTCTCTGGTCAGTCAAGGGTTCTGAGGTCCTGCTTCCATCACAGTGAGTGATCAGGTACTGATCCATGGTCTTTGTTGGTACTGCTGGAGGTTCTGAAGTTTAACTGAATAGTCACAGGATGTAGTAGTGACACCTTTCTTGCATTCTCTGCCTCAATCATTACTTCTGAATATTTTTTTCAAATTTAAATTTTTGCTCATGCAAACCTTGATAGAACCACAATGAATGACTCAAAGCCTTCAGGCAGAGTAACATAAATTATTCTAATACTAAAGGGAGTCAAATTGCTTTGCAATTTACATTTCATTATTACAACAAAATCTCCCTAAAGTAAAACAACAATTGTTATAGAAACAAATTAGTTTCAATTGTTGGATGCATAAAACATCAGATCTCCAACCCAAGAGGCTGACAGCCACCAACATAAACACTCTGGATATTTTAGAAAAATACATTTTGTTTAGTTTGTTCAAGTACAGAAGAAATATCATTCATAGTATCCAGAACCAGTTTTCAGTTTAGTGCGCTGGGCGCCAGATCTTTATTAAAAATGTCCTTATACTGCAGAGTTCACAATAAATTAATCTAACAAGGCAGAGAACCAGGCCCACAGTACTACAGAACCTCCACCTTACTTCACAGAGGGCTTCAGGTGCTTTTCTATACATTTATATTTGCTGCAGATCAGATCCACCTGCTGAGTGGAAGCAGATCATTTCACCCTGTCATAGCTTTGACTTCAGCTGAGGAACAATGTACATTTCTATATTACAGTTATCTACCAGCAGGAGGCAACTTAGCCATACATGATCAGGGGTCATAATCTGGTTTATTTGACAAGATCCTACTGATCCAAATGAAATTAGAACCAAACCAAAGAATTAATGATTCAACTGCAGAAACTAAAGGCTGTTTACAAATGTTTTATTTCCAGATATGAAACAGAAGGAGGGAAGGAACTGGTGATAAGGAACATTATCCTGCAAAATGTTCTGCAGTGAACATTCTGCTCTATATTTCTATTCTAATTATCATTATTAGAAACAACCAGCAGCGTTTGTGTTTCTAATCAGCTGATTCCTCATCAGGACCAACAGCAGGAGATCAGAAGTTAAGAACTGAGTCAGAAATAATATTTCTGTGTTCAGGGGAACATTAGTCTACTTAACATATGGTAGTGGTTTCAAAACAAACTGCAGGAAGATCAGAGATCAGATTCTGTCCTTCTGAATTTGATCCAATATTTTGCTCTTGTTAAATTACAGACATTGTTTGGTTTCCTTGTTTTAAACTCCAGAGTTTCAAGTCAGGCACCACCAGCTGTTTGTTTGGCTGCTGTTTCCCAAGATCCCACCTCCGTTTTTCCCTGCATGTTTGGCAGCGTACAGATAAAAACGGTTCCTGATAAAAGCAGTTCTGACCTCTGGACCAGCAGGGAGCTGGAACTGGGCTGAACAAAGAACTGGTGCTCAGAAAGCATGAGCCGCTCTGACTGATGTTTCATTATGTCAGGGTAAGTTATGCACTGAACAGTGCTGCAGAAGACAAGCCGACTTAATAATTATCAAAGTAATTAGTTAATAATATTTAAGATATTGTGTCAGGTTTTCTTTAAAACCTTAAAGGTGTATTCACACCTGATTCATTTGCTCTGCTTTAAACGGATCAGTTTGTTTCCCTTTTAGTCCAAACTTTTGTGAAGGTGTAGAAGCACTCAGGTGAACCCAGCTCTACGGCTCTGAAATATTTTCTCTTCTGATTCTAAAATATTGTTTTTACAGTTCAGCAGGATAAATGGATCTGCAGCGTCTGAAGGTTTGTAATGTGACTGTGTGAGCAGCAGGAACCAAAAGCTATTGATCGACTGTAGAATAGATCCACTTTAGAAGGAATGTTCCTGGGTTTCAGACGGTCGTGTGGGTCTCCATGTGCCTCAGCAGACCTGCTCTACGACAGAAACTCCCTCCACACGTTGGGCAGGAGTACGGCTTCTCTCCCGTGTGGATTCTCATGTGAACGCTCAGGTTGCTGCTCTGAGCGAACCGTTTTCCACATGTGGTGCAGCAGAAAGGCCTCTCCCCTGTGTGGGTTCTCATGTGCTTCAGCAGGCTGGAACTCAGAATAAACCTTTTTCCACACGTGTCACAAGAATACGGCTTGTCGCCGTTGTGGCCTTTCATGTGGTACTGGAAGGAACTCTCATGAGAAAACGTTTTTCCACACACTGAGCAACCGTAGGGCCTCTGGCTGGAGTGGGTGACCATGTGATCGGACAGATGTCTGTTTGAACTCAAAGCTTTGCCGCAGATGCTGCAGATGAAAGGCCTCTCACCTGTGTGGGATCTCATGTGGACCTTCAGATTGCTGCTTTTGGAGAAGCTCTTCCCGCATGTTTTACAGGAAAATGGCCGCTCGCCTGTGTGAGTCCTGCGATGCTGAACCAGATTGTTTTTGTAGTTGAAGACTTTTTCACAGAAGTCACATTTCAGAGAAGAATCAGTGTTTCTATGAGACAGACTCTGGGACACGGTGGAGACGGTTCCTTCTGAACTTTGGGTCTGAGATTCAGAACCATAGTAACTGTAAAGCTGCTCAGTTGTTGGTTCTGCTTCAGTTTGCTGGTAACTCAGCGGGTCCACAGACGTCTCCTCCGTCAGTACCAGCTGCTGTCCCTCCTGGCTGTTGGACTCCTGGACGTACAGCCGCTGTGGTTCTGTGAGTTCATCTTTAATCTGTGCTGGTTCTGGATGTGTCAGTTCTCCTGTGATTCCTCCAGGTTCCGGTTCCTTCTGGTTTCGTTTAGTCGGTCCAAGTTCTTCCAGGCCCGTTTCAATCGGTGGAAGTTCTGGTTCCTCCTGTTTAACCTGCAGAGGTTCTGGTTCATCTTGGTCTGGATCTGAAGGAACAACAGATCAGTAATTAAAGCTGGTCTTCTGGATCCATGTTGTTAAGTCTTCATGAATCAAACCTCAGATAAACAGCAGAACAACAGCAGATTTTATTGTTGGTATATAAAATACTCTACGGGAGGAGAGTTGAGCTCATTTTCATTTTGGGCAACATCAAGATCATGAATGTTACACCTACTGACAGAAAGATTAAAAAAGATAAAATATTAAATATTGATTGATAATATTATATTTAAGCAAACTGTTAAGTTGAAGGTTGTATACATGTTCTAGAGCAAAGATCTTTAAATCCAGACCTTAAATCAAAACATCCGAGTCTAATAATCAGATCTCTGGAGAACTTTGGACCTTCAGCAGCTCGGTTCTGGTCCTCTGCTCTCCTCTCTTCCTCCACACTCTGAAATCTTTACCTCCAATTGAAATGAAAACTTTACTTTCACCTGAAAAGGGAACTTTGGACCCAACAGTCCAAACGGAAATATAACCACGGCTTTAAGGGGAAGCTTCTCTCGACAGAACGCAGGAAGCTCCGAATAATATTGTAATTTTAGAGCCATAAAATCATATCGCCTGAATCTGTCGTCCGATGTGGAACGAATATTGATCAAATATTTAAGCAGAAACAGAGTTTAGTGAAAACTGAAAGCAAAACGTTTGACTTCCGGGTTAAAACTTAAACCATAGCTGACCGAAGGATAAAAGACTGAAGCCTGTAAAGTTGAGATTATAAACTGATTTATCAATCGCTGTTGTTGCTTCATACCAGTTCTGGTTGCCTTTATCTGAGGTTTCCAGTGGATTTCCAGCAGTTTAAGCTCCTCCTCGTAGCGGACGATGGTTTTTTCTACCTGAATGAAGATTTCTTCCGCAGCAGCAGTTAGTCTCTCTCTGATAAAATCTCTCAGCTGCTGAACTGAAGACATTGTTACTGAGATATTCAGCTGAAACACGAAACGCAACACAAGCAGCAGCTGGAGCCGTTTTGTTTTACTTCCGCTGGGGGTCACAGTGAAAAACAACGCAGATGATTTTTCCACTTCCGCCCCCTGCTGGCTTGGAGAGGAACCGCATCGTGCAGCAACAACAGAGCTGCGAAACTTTCTTTATTCACATGAACTCATCTTATTTCATGTTGTAAACCAGGGGTCCCCAAACTTTTTCCTGTGAGGCCACATAACTTTTCCCTTCTCTGGTGGGGGCCGGAGTCAGTTTGTATC